GGCGGGGTGCATTTCCTTTATGTCCAAGTAGAGGTGCTCATGTAGCGGACCCTCCTGTCCGGGCCACCAGGCTTCAGCCCTCAGTACACCTGCCCGTCCCTCTCTGCCACCATCATTTGGCGTTTCTAGAGTATTTTAAGACAAACCCCCGTCAAAACATCAGTGCATATGTCTAACAGAGGAGGACTTTAAACATAAAACTAAAAACCGTCGGCATGTAATTATTCCACCTCGCAGCCATTGTACAGCCCGGCACACTGCTCTTGACTTCGGAAGGGGTTGACCAAGTGAGAGATGGGTTCCCACCCCTCCAACTGCCCAGTGCAGACCTGAGGAACAGCCCGAGGAGGAGCCTTGGGGCTGGCCACACCCACCCACGCTGGTTAACTGATGCAGCAGGTGAACCTCAACAAGCCCCGGGAAAGAGCGGAACAGGTTTCCCGAGGCAGTACCCTCCCTGACCTCCCTGCTCCCTAACGCTGCCCGTTGATAGGGCCCAGCCAGTGAAAAGAGCCATATTGAGGGGAGTGAGCACAAGGATAGGGGGGGGAAACCGGGGGGGGGGGGTGTTCCCTCACTTTTGCCTTTAAAACAGGATATGGAGTGAGGGAATTTATCTGCGATCAGTGGTAGCTATGACTGGGGGAGAAAGGTGGAGTTTTCTACAGTCTAGGAAACCCACAGAGGCAGTTCTACCCCATGCCTGAGCTGGCGTGGACTGGATGGCAGGTGGTTAGAGTTGAGAGAGAGAGAGATGATTAGACCTGTCCCAAGGAGGCTGGGTGGCACCCGGGCGGGGTTAGCACCGGGCTGCTGAGAAGTCGGCAGTTCAAACCCCCCCCCCACACACACACACACACTCTGTGGAGAAAGATTGGCAGGCTGCTCCCATAAGACCACAGCCTCGGGGGCCCCAGAGGGCTGCTCTGCTCTCTCCTCGCTACAAGGTAGCGGATACAAAGTATCCAGTACAAAGTCGCTCCTCTGACCTGAAAGCCTGAGCCACGCTGCTTGGAACCCAGCTTTCACTGGGAGCTTTATGCTCCTTCCATCATGAGGCTCCTCCAGCCACCAGATGAGGCGGTGGCAGGGGCCTGGTTCATTGCACCGAACCACAGACCACCCGGGAAAGCCCAGGTCTCCACTGCC